CCAACCAAACATCCCTTCTTGAAAGGTGAGGTGAATGTTGAGCTCAATATGGTACTCTGTAAATACTCTAGTCCAGTCCACAGCACGTATACAGTTGAAATATACACATACCTTTCGTCTATATATAAATATGCAAATGGTGATCTAATAAGGTATTTAGATCTATGGCATTTAAAGAAATATGTGCAAATTACATGGTTTAAAAAGGAAGAGGGCAATAGTTATATTCACTAAGGTAACACATTCTTCTCAACCTTGGTGTGATTAATGTTGTGGGCTTGTTACAAACTACCTAATAATTAAAATTAATTAGGAATAAAATTATAGGATAGGAATGTATATAAAGGTGATAATCAGATGACACATTATACATCCGAAGGATTTTCTTGGTGTGTCAAACTAATTTTTAGAAATCAATTTCCTCAACAATTACTTTTCACTAAAAGTACTGCTAACTTCGTTTGATTGAATATCGGTTTTCTACTTAAGACTAAAGTATTTAATATATTAAATTGATGTTTTATTCTGTTATCTTGGGAGTTTTATTTTCAATCAACGAAACTTCCCTTTGCAGTGTTTTAAAATGCATGTTTTACCTTCTTATAATATCAATGTTAATGAAACGCTCTCCTTAACCATGTACTGTAATGAAATCAGCAAATTTAAATATAATCAAAGTATTACCTGTACTATTTAATATTATGTAACCTGTTTCATGTAATCATTTACATATTAATATAACGTATTTGATATTGTAAAATATAATCCATAGAATACTATATATGTACTGCACGGTAAAGTTCCATGTTAGGTATGTATACTAACCTGTTATTATTAATACACCAAAACTGTATACAAATAACAAAGCAGTTATAACTATATGAACAATATAGTTATAAGTTATAGTTATAGGTGTAACTATATAGTTATATAGTTATAGTCATATAGTTATAACTATATAACTATATGAAAACACAATTATTTAATATTATATTCATCCCTGTTTGAAAACTCCATACATAAGCTTCGATCCTAAAGTCCATAGTCAGTCCCTTAATGATGCAATTATTTGTTTTTTTTTCCTTTTATTAAATATAACTTGATAATTGCTTTTCAAAATTATTCTTTACTTATTTAACAGTAACCACAGATTTGAAATTATATCTAAAAAATAATAATAGCAATAGTAAAAAAAGTAATAGTAAAAATGTAGTTATTAGGGTAATGTCTGAATATACATATTACCATTACAAGCCACCCCTTTTCACTGGGGAGGGGTAGAAGCCCCTGAGGTGATCTCAGTGGTAATTGTAATGTAATCCTCATCAGTATCAAATCTGGCCCCCAACACATGCAGTGCTTCCTTGTAATCTGTTGTGTAATAGAGTAGCGACGTGTGTTTGAATAAGGTATTGCAGTCCACTTACTATATAGGAATTATTTCAGCCAAACTATGTTTTTACCTCTTCATACTTAGACTTATTATTTTACTTTTTCTAAACAACAACAAAAATTAAAAAAAAATATCAATACGAATTAGACATTTTACAAATTTTTTGAAAGACGTACTCCATTTCACAGAACGTGTAGGTTTTAAGGGATATTAAGTTTATCATATTTTTATATTTTTACTATTGGAGTTCTATAGATAATTAACACATCAGGTCAGTCTGAGACTTGTTAGCGCTCGATTTACTACCATAAGAGTTGTCCTAAAGTCCACTGAGCTAAGATTTTATTTGTCTTAAGGATTATTGAATGAATATTTACAGTTCTTACAAGTATCAGAATCCAGTTAGTTCAAAAACTATTCTACCATCAAAAAAAAAAAAAACAATCTAAAGCATGAATAATTAAATATGATAGAAAAAAATATTAAAGTTCCTACGATGGTTACCGACTACTTTAGAAGACGTCAGCAACAATAAGCAAAACACTTGTGAAAAATATCTTGTCATTGTAACATAACACACTTTTTAAAATTTTTGTATACACGCAAAAAAAACCCTTACCATCATAATCGTACATATGACTTAACAAGATAGGACATTCCTCATTGGCTGGCGTAAAGATATTTAAAAGAATTGTCCTGGTTATTATTGACGATCCATCTAAGTAAAGCTTAATCAGTAAATTTACTTATCTTAAGAAAGGTTCTATACTTATTGACTAGAGAAAAGATTAAGTAAATTTAACGAAACCTTTCATACTAGACCATAACAATCTCATAATGAAATATATCTTTAGGCTTTGTCGAGCTCTACCAAAACGTTTTATCAAAATAAATATAAGAAAATGAAATGTAATATTACTGCCATTGTTAGATGATTTGTTTGTTTCGAGAAACGATCTTTAAAATATAAGTTTAAGTTGTTAACATGAAAAATCAACCGATGGAGAATAGTTCCTAAACTATTTTTGACAAAACTCTGTAAAGAAAATAAATTAGAAAAGGTGTTAATGTTTACGTACTTATTGTTGTTAAAGTTCTATGTATCATTTGGTAATTACAAACCAGGAGTCATTGTTATACATATATCTACGTTCAAATCATATCTAAATAACCAACAACCTACAAAGGCAGACTGTGTATGAAAAGGTAAGTTTAATGTGTGTATTCCCAAACCGGAACACTTTAATGGGACAAACGACGGAAGTAGGGTAGAAAATTACGCAACCGGAAACAGGGAAACCCGACAAAGTAGGTGAGGGGTGAGAGGGCAGCTAGTGACAATCTTACACCAACTTATCCTGGTTGTGGCGTAATAACAATAAAACTTTATAATAATGGTAACAATGTTAATTCAATTAAGCTATTTGGTTCAATCGTCTTAGAATCTAAAACGATAAATTTGTAATGTATCCTAATATCTACTAAATTAACCTTTTTTTTTTTAAATAAGTTAATCATATCAAATCAGATTTTTTCAACGAAAATATTACAAAACATGACACATAATAATATTAAAATATGTGAACTGAGAGAGGTATATATTTAAAAAATCTAAATTGAAAGTAGAAATATCATTTAATTAAGAACTACTGATAACTGTTCAAAAGTGTATTTTTAATTGATGAACCCATTGTGAATGAATGTTAAATTAAATGCGGTAACGTCCTTCCATGCTACATTGTATCGACTATGGGATAAAATATCGCCAAAACAGAAATTATAGTGCTATAAATAATTGCTTGGTAGCAACATCATTGTATTTATTTATTACTGACATATTTCTGTTGTTCTGAAATTCACTCAAAACCTTTGAAATCAATTTAACATACCTTGCGTCATCCAAAGTTACCTTGCGTTTTCTATTGTTTATTATTATTGTATATTTCAATTATAAATGTGAGAGTTCGGTCGAAACAGAACATAATACAATTATGCAAGTTAAATTAAGACCTTAGCCTACAGTAAGCCGTAGGATTAACAAATAATGCTGGTTTTCCCCTCTAAGCCTGGTCTTAGACGCGTTTTCACTTTATATCAGGAATACGCTAAACGAGTAATTCTTAATGTTATTGTTTTCAGCTTTTGCTGCTATTTTAGGGAGGCAATTTTCTAATGAATGTTAAGTGTTAAGGTTATATTAACTGTTTTTATAGCATCCATCGTTAATGCAGTTTCAATAATACTAGAAAAAGTGCATTTGCTATTCTTAATATTTAAGTTTTAAGAAATTTTAATGGTTTTGGTTTAATTTAAAACCGTGAGCTTTACAAATCATAATATTGTTTATCGTAATGTGAAAGCCTGTTAGATGAGAGCATCTGATTCAACCACTTTTTCCACACAGAACAAAGTTGTAGTTTAAGTGAATTTAGATTAAAGACAATGCTGAGGAATAAATTAAAAATACATACGACCCCATAAAATCTGCATACGCTACCAAAATCAGTGTAAAAGGAAAATCCTTTTCATCTCGAGACAAAAGATATTACGAATTGCCTGAAAGTAGTTACAGCTTCCTTAACAAATTGGTGTAATTTGCATAAACAGCTGGGTTGTAAGTTTCTTTCCTATTAACGCCACAATTAATTTAACCTCGTGTACCTTTATTTTAAAAAATGTGGTTTTATGTTATATCTAAAACGTGAAGAGTTATTTTTTTATTTTTACAGCCCCTGATGTTACCATTCAATACTGTATTGAGTAAAATACATGTAGGTATTAATCTTGAAGAACCCTGTGTTATTTAATACGTTTTTTTACTTTATTGTTGATTCATATAAACTTTTCTTTTGCCAGTTAAAAAATCTGACATTTTTATGTCATTTGCCTCTAATGTTGCCTCGGAGATGGCACTAGCCTAGGCCATAGAGTATATCTAATGCGAAAACAATATTACTCGAGAAAATAATTTCCATTTATCGAAAACTTTATGTAGAAAGTTCAATTATAATGGTATAGAGTCTCATAATTAATTGTAACTAATTAAATATAGAATTTCTTGAAATAATTACCAACGATTAAACATGTACAAGCTTTAAATAAAAAAATTTTCTTTGAAAACTGTACTACGATTTGTTTAATTTAAATTTCCAATGAAGTATCAAATAAAGGTGAATGTAATGTCTTTATTAAATGTTATACATTATATTCTTATAAATTACATTTACATTTGATATCTTAAAAATAAAGTTAACAGATTACCTTCAGGATACATAGTAACAGATTTGGATAATGTACATAAGTAATGCTGTAAGAACGACGTAAAAGAAACGAAAAATAATATCTGCGAGAGGAAAATCAAATAAATAATTCATCCAGCGAAATGTTTCTCTCAAAGATCTTTTATTCATCACAAAGTTATATCACATAAGAACACATTATGAAAATATCTTTATAAAACCTCTTACAAATAACTGGCTTTATTAAAATCTTTCAACGTTATAAAATTAAACTAAAAAGAGGGTAATATCTACAGTTTCACACATATAAAAATACATTTTTCAAATTTGAATTCTTGAAAACACTTTATACACAACTTTACATCTTGAATAAATTACTTAAATTACAATAAAAGTAATAGGTAGTTTAATTACAAAAGAAATATTTAAAATTAATGATATGTTATTTTACACATTGCCTTACTAAATATCCTGACAAATATATGTTTTAATACATTGCGTAAAACTAACAACGAATAATAATGTATAGAAAAAGTTATAACTACGTAAAAATGGTGGGAGTTTCTGGAGGAAAACAAGAATGAGCGTGCTGAAACAAAATAAAGTTGTTACCATACTTTAAATACATATGTCTTTTAACTAAAAATGCTAAGTCATTATTCCAAACCATGATTACGGGCTAGTTTTAACTTTAGTCTTTTTATGCGTTGTAATTTACTTATTTGAATATGCAATATATTAAAATAAATATATAGGTTTGCTTATTATTTTGTTTTGCTTTTTATTTTCGTCTTTATTTAGTTCTTAAGGAGTTTTATAAATATAAACTAATCTACACATCGGCTAAAATCATCTACTTTAGGTAACTTTTGGTCTTATATAGTATTATTTAAACAACCATGGATAAAAACCACAAGAAAATCAACAGTTATTTGTAACTACAACTGATAATAACAGGGGGAGTGAACCCGTTGCATGAAAACGAGCACTTGTCAAGTACCGCTATTACAGGAGTTATTTTGAAACTAATAACAGTCATATTTTTCGGCCAGTTTAAAATAATTAACTAAAAGCTTAAGTAACTAAAGGAAATACTCACGCTGTTAATAACAGTAGGCCTAAATGTTTCATCATTTTCAGAAGCTGGCCTTTTTTAGTATTTTCTACAAATATTTCCTGACTTACCCATAGCTGCACAAATTTGTCCAACTGTGTATACTTATCATTGGCAATTCGATTGCAATTTGATTTGCTTTATTGACATTATGTTGGTTTGTTGCCGTAATATCGTAAATTATATTATTTACCTGAAGAAATGGGAGTTAAAAGGCCAGATGTTGTTCAGCTTTTTTGTTTCGCTTAACTATGAATATTTAAAAATCTGAAAACTACACAGTGATAATACTTGTATACTTGTATATACTCGTATGTCTCAAAATGTATGCCAAAGACAACAAAGAAATTACCATCCCATATTATGGAAGCTAAAATAGACAAGGAGGCGTGTCCTTTTCATAGAGTTATCAAGGAAATAAAAACCTGCTGTAAACTCATTTCTTACCTATAAAGCGGATCGGAGAAGTAAACACGTCATGAGCAATATCCTTTGGAAAGCTTGAAACGATGTCGACGACGACGATAACAGCTCGAGGTTTCGCTCTGAAAATAAACAAAAACTTAATTTCACTGTCACGCAACATTTGTTTACGAGATGATTTTTCGCATTAAAACTGCAATAAAAGTTGTCTTTATACGTGTAAACTAGCTGTTCTGAATTGTACATAGTTTTAACTGACTACTCAATTCCCGTACATAGGACGGGTTAACACCTCGTTTAGTGTAAAGATAAATTATTGACGATTCAAATATCAATTAAATGAAAACTACTGTGCGAGTTTTTCCCTCGTTACATTGTAAATGTCATGTTAAAATACAGAGTTACGGTAGCACAGTCCAAGTCAAAGTAGTAGAATTTGATTTGTCTAAATTTAATATGCAGTATATGTACTCATACAGTGATTGTTATAAATTACTAATAGTAATTTTGATTCATTAGAATATAGCCGATACACTTCATATCCGTAGAATACTTCTAAACAATAATATGCTTTACTTCACAACTAAAAATCGTTGTTCCAATTTAATCATGAATTTATAAAAATGTATTAGGATAATAGTAGCTCCTTGAATATTATTTTGCAGCCAGGTAAATAATGATCTTCTCGATTCATAGAGTATACAATGTGAAAAAAATTAAATTTGACTTTTTCAATCAAAGCTAAGACAAATAGGCATATAACAGGGATAAAATTAAATGACAAGCACAAAGGCTGAAAAATCTCACATACCTTTGTCTGAAAAATAATCTGAAATTCATGTGTTACTATTTAGTAATATGTGAAGAGAAATGGTGAAATCGAAAAAATCTACTAACCGAAGAAGTCATCGTCAACTCCGCGCGTGTAGAACTGGTATACGTCGCTGAGGTCTCCCCAGCCATATCTGTTGCGTGCCTGTATGTGTACTTGGAACACCGAGGCAGGCTGAAGACTCTGCAGGTGGTACCAGACAAAGTGCTGAGGGGGCCCTGACCTGGCCTGGGGGGAGAAACTAACCTCCTGCCACGTACCCAGCTGCTGGTGTGAGTCGTTGATCTGGGTAATACATTTCACATTAGTGACGTCATAGTAGTAATATACCACTACAGAAAATTAACATTAACAATGAACACAAATTAATTAGGTTGCCCTGACTTGGCCTGGGGGGGGCAACTCACTTCCCGCCACGTACCCAGCTGCTGATCAATATTATTCAGTGTCTTCATTGAATTATCAGAAGATCATAGAGGTCGTAATACTTATAACTTGGCGAAAACAGCATATTCATCGTTTACTAAGCATTAGTGACGACAGTCTAGTAGTGAATCACAAAATGTCAGTGACAGGTCAGACTAGTGATGGATTACAGGAAGATCAGTAACGTCATATTAATTATGTATGACAACTAGTTAGGGACTTCAGTCTAGGGATGGATTACCAAATACATGACGTCATATTACTGATAACTATTCGGTGACAACAGCGTATTTGTGCTTTACTTAAGCTCAGTTATGTAAATTCAGTGAAGGATTACAACAGGTCAGTGACATTATACTAATGATGGATCACTACTAGCTAATTAAAGAGAGTGTAATAAATATTGTGTGATTATCAGTAACAACACCCTATGTGTACCCTATAGTTACAAATCAGTGATATATTGTGATGGTTATCATTTTGATAGTTTTTTCATGTCATCGAACTTTTTTAACAGCATTAAACAGAAGTATTTACCTTTGTGCTCGTGTGTATAAGCTTATGGCCACCTCTAAAGCCAAGCACTAGCATGTAAACTCAATAATATTTTCTTGACATTCAAATCACTAATACATTTAAAATCACTATAGTATATCATTTTCGCCAAATGTATAGGGTGTTTAAAAAAGGTAGGGACATATTCTACGTAGTGATTCCTTGGGCCAAAATAAAAAGAAAAAAAATTACTTACCAAAATCGCTTCGTTAACCAAATATTTTCGTTTCGTATTTTTTACATAAAAATTTTTATCCATGGCTTGTTTCCACAGATGTTTATGAAACTTAGTATGTATGAGAGATGCATGCTACAAAAAAGTTACGTTGATAAAAAAAAATTGCAAAATGGTGATAATTTTAATTTCTTAAACTTAAATTACCAAGAAATAGCAGATTTTATGAAGAAATGTCAATTAAACTTGTAATTGACATTAAAATCTTCCTATGAAATTACATCAAGTTCCCAAAGATGGAATGAAAAATAACTGAAATATAGTTTTTTGAGTTGTACAATGAGGAAAACCTCACTAGCTTAGTCTTATAAATGGTCTTATTCTACCCCGTTTTACAACTAAAAATACTGATATTTCAGTTATTTCTTATTGGATCTTTTTTTTACTTGGTGTCGTTTGATAGGACATTTTAAATGACATATAAAAATCTAATAGACAAATGAACATTTTTCCCTAACATAGATCTCTTCTATCTTAACATACATACCAGATCTTAAGGTTTATAAAGATCAGTGGAAACAATATAAAGATGAAAATGATAATGTAAAAATACAAAATGGCGGATATCTGGTAACGAAGAGATTTTGAAAAAAAAACCTATTCCTGATTTTCTCTTTATTTTTACCCAAGGAATCACTACGTAGTTAATTTTGTCCCCACCTTTTTTCCGATTAACCTGTATAGATGTATATTACTAGTTTGTGTGTATATAATTTTTTTAGATATTTTTCTTTTTAGTGAAATTATATTTTCACCTTTATTTTGTGAGAGAACTAAATCGTACTGGGGGATTTAAACTTTTTACAATGCATAATTTATGAACGTAATTAACGTAATTTTATTTTGGTAACTTGGAAACTACGTGGTAGTATAAAACACTGGCTGTGATATAAAACACTTTTAACAAATATTGGTATTGTAGAGTGTTCACTGAGTAACTGAGTACCTAACAGTGATAAAAAGATAAACAAAAGAAAATGTGATAGGAGATAGATTATGTATTACTACCATATGTATGGAAGAAATACACATTTTGCAATGTCATTATAATATTCTCAGTACATTGAATTTATCGAATACTGTTGAAAATTTTTTTTTACATAGGTAGATCAAATTATTTTACTCCGAGTCATTTATTGATTGGATAATTCAAAGACGTAGATATGAGCTTACCAATATCCTCCGGTATATGAATCTCACTTCCATAATGGACGATACAGACTCGACCACTGCAGTCAGGTTGTAGCTGTTGACAGAGTAGCTGTATGGTGAGCTCACTACCTTAGCTCGACCTGGCTTGCCTGCAACAAATAAAGATAAAAATTATTATAGTCGCAGTGGACTATAACTAAAATGTATGTAAACTAAAATGTAATGTAAAATACATAATCAAAGTGTGTTTAGATAAAACAGCATTGGACAAAACAGAATAAAGTACAGCACGAAAATCATTCATATATTAATAAGTGTGTTTTTACACCATCAATTCCTACATTTAATTATGTAGTATAATTTATCTACGGGCATTAACTCGTCAACTGAATAGCCATCATAACACACACATCTTCCTTATGATCAAGACATACATTAATTATTGAAATGACTTTTTAATATATTCAGGGAGAGTTTTGAGGACTCGTATCGCAATACGTGTCAGTAAATTTTCAACAGTTTTTTTTTTAAGTTTTTGATGTAAATAGCAAAGTTTTAGTACCTCTAGTGTCCTAGAGTGTCCGTATATTTATATTTTTAAATCCTATTTTTAATTTGGCTGTTCACTCATAGTAGTATAAAAAACTAATCCTTTCTTAGAAGATGTTAGAACTATTTTTGTGTAGTTTTTGGTAATGTAAACCAATATGTCGATCCAATGATAGGTTACGGTATCAAATTATGTCATTTTGTTTAACCTTTATCTCACTTTGAAAGGAGGTGTTTTTTTATTGTAATTGTAATGAAGACCATTCAGTAAGTGCAACCACTAACGCTTCAACGCAAGTGAGACTTGATGCTGTATTAGTGTTGATCTATTTGATAAAAATATCCAGAGTTTACCACCCTGCCATTTTTAGTTAACAGAAACAATGGTTTTACAGGCAAACATATATAACATAAAGTCTAGTTATAAAATAGTAGAGGGCTGATATTAAGATCGAACAAAAGCTGCGAGAAGTAAGAAGAAAATAACACGAGAAAACTCATATCTGCTGCATCGTGTAATGCTACTGACTAAATAATGTTCAATATGGAACATCATATGCACAAACTGTCTCGTGCACAGAGCATATGAGCTCATATTATTATGACATCAGTAACAGTAATATGCTTCCATCGTTGAACTATTGCACAATGACGCTGTAAACGATGATATAGTGTTTAACGCAGATTGGTTTTCAATCTCGTGGAGACTGTAATTGAACATATATTACAATAATAGGTTCATCAATGATGAATTAGTTGTCAAAATTGACTTTTTAATGCATGCAAGTGAATTATATTTCAATTGATGATGAATAACTCAATAGGAAATATAACTGAAACATTTTGGTATTGTTTAGAGTATTAAAAATATTTTTTGCTAACTACTGTGAAATAACGTGCTTTCGTTACATGTTTATCGCTTTTGAAAATTCTACATTACATTGTTTAATACGGCAAAAGAATGTTTACTATGAGAAGGTCGCCTATTGGGTCTGATGATGATTGGAGTGTCCAATCAAAATCGATCACAACTTACCAACTTGTATATGTATTTACCGTCTTGTGAGTCAATAGTATAAGTGTAAATATATTATTACAAGTGTTATTTGACGTACAAATTGTTGTTTTTCAGGTCTTTCTATTTTAGCAAAAAGTAACGTTAAAAACACGATTGAAAGTGGGTCCATATCAACCATTTATAAATTGTTTGATAAATCTTGCCCTTCAAACATATGGTCTCAAATGTGTAATGACTCACTTTCTACTCTTGTTATGAAATATTCTATTTTTGCGAGGAACTTTCAGGAATTTCAAGATTACTTATTTGTATTACTTGGAGGTGTAATAGATATATAAGTGAAGAAATACACGAATTTAAACACAGAAATTCGGTGGACACACAGAATATTGGATACCACAGGTAAAATGGACTCTTAAAATTTTCATTAGGATTTTTTCTTAGTTAAGCATTATTTGTTACCTAAATTTTAAAAGAGGACTCTATTCATTTGCCAAAATTTAAAATTATTTATAAAACTATTTAATCTTTGTAGATTAGAATAAACTATCATTCTTGCCCCCTTACAATTCTATTTTGCTACTATCATACCTGTTATGTGTATGTTTTCCTTGGTTTTTCCTAAGGAGTTCTCGGCGGCGCAGGTAAAGTTCCCAAAGTCTGAGGACTGTATGTTGATGATGCTGAGAGAGTGACGGTTTCCATTCTTATCAAGAGAATATCTGTTGGAGGAAGTCACTATACTACCGTCTCGTATCCACACCATCTGATGACAATATTTCTACAGTTGTAATAATTATAAAATATCTTTATGCACGTTTAGTATCAATGAACTATTTAATTCTATAGTTATCATAAATAAAAAGGGTATTTTCGTGATCAAATGATGGTATAATTACGTATATTTAATCTATAAACCAATCATTTCCTATTCAAAATGCAGATTGAAGTATGAAATATAAATTATAACCCACTTTAACTGCTACTAACAAGATGGTAATGATATCTTTCTCTGCCACTTTTGTGCAACAAGTTATTCAAAACCTTAATCTTTACTTGCTGCTTATTTGTTAAACTATCTTTCACTATATTGATTTTCATACAATAGAGTACTTTTTATGTCATAGTATATTTCTACACAACCAGCCTGAATCAATCATGCCACACAAAAATATTAAATACTTAATTTTACTTAATCGTTTATGTAACTGTATTAAAACATTACAAGACTGATACGCAATAGTTATGTGGGTTAACGTCGCTTTCATTTCAATGAGGACGTCATGGTCTGAAAAGCCAGATATTGCAGTTCAAAAGAATTTACCTACGCTATCACAGAAGTCATCACTTTCTTGCGTATGTGACAGGACTACACTGACATTATAGCAACACAAAAACCAATAAATCGTTTGTAAGGATCTAGGATAACAGAGGTTTCCTCATGTCACTCAAACGTTGTTGAATTATGTAATCAACAATTATTTGACAAGCAATAATAGAAACATCTTGTGTCGTGTCAATTCAGTTTTAGTATTTTAGTAAGGTTTAATGGTTATTATTTAGGATTATTCCCAATGTAAAAATATAAAGTTGTAAATGGATGGGGTAGGTTATTATTTAAATGCTTCGATTTTCTGGTATTCATTAAAACATTTACTGATTAAAAATCCATATTTTAGAATTGTTATACATTTATCATAATAAATTAAAAGCCCAGGTAGTAGATTATCCCTCATGAGAACCGTTCTGAATGTTAACTCCAAATATAGCTTGTCTAATACGGTTACAATACTCACGTTAGGCGTTGGGTTGCCGAAGACGGTACAGACCAAAACCTCATTTCTCCCTTCTGCTGTCTGTACACGACAACGCTCCACTTCTATTTCTGGTGCATCTGTTGATAAAACAATAGTTTTTAAATATAACAAGCATTTAAAAATTTGAATCATAGTAGTTCAACATTTATTTTTACGATTACCTCAATAAACAGTAGGAAGCTAACATCTAACTAAATTTAAGTTGTAAATAATGTGTGTAATTGTAACTTTGATGGCACACAAAGGTACAATGAATATTTTCAGGTAATCAAATTAATAAGTGAACATTGCAAAATTAATTACTTGGAAAATGTATTTTAAGAGTGGAAGGAGCAACAATTACAATTCAGAACTATAATATACGATTATTTTTTGCAATTTAAAACAATAATTCCTTCCCTTTGGAAAACTTTGTTTCAAAAACAATATTCTGGTGCCTTGTTAGAATACTAATTATATGAACTCAAAAATATTTTTTTTTACTTATTGTACTAATTACTAGTCATATTTATAAATCTTTACATTAAGGCAAGAACCCATTACTGTGTATCTCAACCGGAATCTTAGGGAAGGAAAAGCGTAGACTAGGACGATAGAGTGATCTTAAGTATCTTTGTTATTAACGACCTTTGAGGTCGGTTTATTTTTTGGCCAGAACCGATCAACCTTAATAGATCAATGACTAGGGACAGCTGGACTAGGTTTCCAATCAAAAATAAACCGACTATGTATTGATAGCCAAGTAAATACAATAATTACTAATTAACCTCCCTACAATATACTACAGTGATTATATAAGTCTATCCTTTTTCAATTGCTAACTCGAAAGCTAAATGAAAACAATCAATATGACTATTTAATCACAACTCTTTTTGCACAAATCTATGAATTTAGTACGTGTCGATTTACCAGTAAAACAGTGTTCAAAAGCATCATCAAAAGCAGAGTTTAATCGTAACAAAACTCCAGCAACGAACAAAACCACATTGCAGTAAATATAACAATACAACGGTAACATGGTTGCGCTGTTTTCCAATTTTCGTCCCAAACATAAAATCCAACTGCCCCTATTTCGTAGCGACTGGTCCATTTTCAACAAAATTTAAACTAGTTCACCATCATACAAATATTTCACTTGTTATAGAATTGCGTTTTTTAACAACGGTTACATGAAAGATATACTGTGAAGTAAACTGACTAATGTAATAAAACTAGAGGTGTAGAAAAACATAGTTATAAATAGAATTAGTTCCACATGGTAAATAGAATTCGAAATTATACGATCTAAACCAAGTTAAATCTACGCTCTCTGTTCGGATTTCAATACCTTTATAGATGTAAATTGCTCTGATCAAACGCTGTTTAGAAAAACTATGTTAATGGTCTGATTATCCTTTTTCTTTCTCCCTCATGAATGAATGGATGGTTTATGGATCTTAAAATGTGCCGTAAAAATATTCGAATCTGTATTTTAAGTGGAATTATCTTTTTGTGTCCCCTGGTTTTCAAAGTAATGTTCGTGTGTGTGTGTATACAGAGCTACAAGGTTAAAGGTTACATGTGGTCAAATTTTGACAAAATTTTATGTGGGTATTTTTTTTCTATGTCCCACCTGGCATCCTACATCCTATTTCCACATCATTTTCACGTCAACCTTCACGATAGGTTCTAGTCCGGAACAAGTTTACACATTACTTAAGGCTACTCCTACAAAGTCGCAGCACTGTCACTTGGAGAAAGTCAATTGGTGATTGGTGGGATTTGAATCCAGGACCTTGGGCTCTGAAGCCCTGTGCTCGACCATTACAGCAGCTTGCTTCCCAGGTTAATGGGTACTAACCTATATCTCCAGAATTTTTAAGTGTTTAATTTTAATGGGTATTTTAACAAACACCCCTCAAACTACTGTATTTAGATTAGAATTTAGTATTTTATCGTCCTTCTCACTGTCAACAAATTAGTACAACCCCTAAAAAGGAAAAGTTACAGTTCCAAATGCATTTCAGTACTGTAGTTGATATTACCCATAAAAGGTGTATTTAGTCCTACCACTTACGGACTTCGCGAGTTTATGGAATAGGTTATGTTTAATTGTTTATTTTGGGTTGTTGACGTTAATGGTAGAAACTATGTGTCACTTTGCCGATATCGTTTAGGTTTTAAATTGTGTTATTCCTTGAATTCATTATAATTCTTATTTGAAAAATATGCTGTAAGCCTACATGGCAAATTTTTCAATGCAATTCTTTAATGAAACAGATTATGGGTTGATCAAACTGTAAACCAAATTTCATAAAGATATCTTAATAATTTTGTTAGAAATAAATTTGATACACAAAAAACGAAATTGTTGATATCTTGCTAAAGAGGCATTTTCGGTAATAATTTTAAACTTGATTTTCATTTTATTTTTACCCATTAAACCTATTTCTAAATTAATTGGTTTATCTATTTCAGAACACCATGAATAAGCATTGGAATTTTCATTTTCCACCAATCTTTCAGTACTATGTGCCACTCCAATATAATATGCTTGAACCAACTGCCCTACAACACCAAATTTAAAATGTACTCTCAATATTTTACAGTTCAAGATAGGAATGATATACAGTATAAGAAAATCTTTAGAATATAAACATATATTATTTTTTCTGAAACATTATTGTGCACAACAGAAGATGTTCTGTCGTACATTTTCACAAAGCCTTTTTCAAAACGTAGTTCCTGAAAATATAATGTTTATTACTTTTCAGATACACATACTTTAAATAGGTTTTGTTTTAAATTTAAAATGTACACAAAATATATGACTTTAAAGTATTTGAAAGAGTGTTAACCTAGGATTATCTGTTTATTTAGTTTTGCAATCGTATAAGGAAATACTAAGAAATCGCTGTATTATGATTGTATACTTTATACATGGACAAATGTTATAGGTCAAGGTATTTTATAGGGTTTATCTTAGCTTGAGCGTATGAAATAATTCGAAATATTATATGAAGGTAGTTTATGATTAAGTGTATTATCAAATTCCAATCTGCCTGTATGATGATGGTGCAAATTAGTACGGACATACATTAAACAACGCGTTTGTTGTTCATGTTTGGGATGAAATGCCAGTTCTGCATCGATCAATTCGTTAGTTATCAATGACTTTGCCCAGACAAACATTCACGCTTAACTAATGGAAACTCCATCAATATTAACTAAAACATTATGACATGTTAATATAAATGGAATAATGCATCGTATATCAGTTTACTTATGTTTTAGATATGAGGTTTAAATAGGTACTGAATACTTAGAACCATATTAGTTTTATTATATTTTCTATTTTATTATTCATTGACTCTTTTTAGCTATATTTGTATTATTAAAAAATATTTATATTTTGTTTGGACAACTCATGTCCAACATTATTATATAATTTAGTTTCGTTTTAGGTTTTTTTGTTAAACTTTTTTGATTTTTTTTAATAACACATTTTGATAAAGCCAACCTAATCAAATGAAAGAAACAATAAAAGACCTGTTAAGTTTGTTGGTGGACATAATAGGTATTGCCTTGATGCTGTATAGTTAACCCAGTATTTAAACATCCCATTTATTTAAAGTCGTAACTTTATACTATATTACCATCTACGTGTATAGAATATAGGGGTATTAAATAGGTTTGTTTATTCGTCGGTTTGGTAGTCATTACGGCTTGTTACTGTTTTTTTTCTTTGTTGGTTTGAATTATTGATGTTATGAATGACTTTTAGGCTTGAGAAGCTTTAAAGTTTTAAAACTGTTGGATCATTAGGGAGATGCGACCGTCGTCAGTATAAGGTACAGGTTTAGGTTGTTAAGAAATACATTAAAGGGTAGTGTATATTGAGTGACGTAGGTATCTATGTTTGTGGTTCAGGAGTTGTTGGATACAAAGCAGAAGCTGATCGTAGGCCTACATGTTGATTGCGAGTCAAAAGTCACTCAGGTAATGATAAAGAGTTTTGTGGTTTTCTGTTGGATATGTTTAAGACAATGTAAGATGCAAGTTACTCACGTAAGACGTCCAGTTGCAGGTCCACAGTGACTGGTGGTCCCACCCCATTGTTGGCTGTACACTGGTACAGTCCCGCGTGATGACGATCCACCCTCTCTATCGTTATAGAAAACCCCTCGTTGTGCAGTAATGGACTTCCCTGAAATAGGATATTTTACTTTTATTTAACGATTGACAGTAGTACATTGTACTCTGAAAAAATTAAGCAGAATATATTTGGAACCTTATATTCTGATCAAATTATACACGCTAACACCTCATTCATACATACTTCATTATACATTCGTACATTTTACGTTATGATCTATTGATAGGGTAAAAACTAGGTTGTGAGAGTCAAGTCTTAAGTTCCAGGTGTCAATAAGGCATTAGCAAGCTCTTAGGGTGATTTAGGGTTATAATAACAATTTACCTACATCGTTTATACTGAACTATATTTGTAGGTACTGTTTTTTTTGTTTGTTTTTTTTGTTGTTTTTTTTTTTGTAAGTGATGATAGCCAAATACTAGGTATTTTAGGTCACATATACTAGGTAAGCATATAAGATTTACACATCGTCTAATTCATCTCACACTATTACTTTATTTATTCTTTAAGTACCCTAAACACGACCTTACATATCTAGACGTAATGACGACAAGTGATCAACATACCTGGCGGTGCCAGATGATGGACGGCATGGGGTTGCCTGACGCTGTACAAGAGAGGGTGACTGTCCCTCCTTTCCTCGAGACCAGCTGACCGTTGGGGAGGGTCGTGTGTATACTGGGAGGAACTGAGAAACAGGAGGATACTAATCAAAGAAGGTATTAACTATCAAAGTCAACCCAAAACAATACAACTGGAATATTATTTGATATCTGATAACCCTTTCGCAATGGTGTGGTACAAACTTTCTTCTAGGAAACATAGTGACCTTGACATTTCGGTAGCAGTGAAGCTGTTGCTCATATAGGAAACAAAAATAGTTCTCGGTATTATTATATTAGTCCTTGTTCTTCATTTTTTATACCGAAAATAGTTTCTTATGTAGCATGCTGCACATGCATACTTTCCTAACATTTTTGATTACTTAGATTATAACTGATAATTAGCTTATGTGAATACCTGTTTCTTGTTATACACTTATAATACTGGACAATATTTCCTAAATCCAAATTGTTTACGCAAAGAATATTTTTTAATTATTCACTTTTTCTTTTCCAAAATGGAAAATATAGTTTTATAACGGTAATGAGGTTTTGGGGTAGCACGTTTTGTCAGTAATGAAACTCTGTTCCGAAACTCGTTATCATTGGAGATATACTGTACCTCTGACAAACTATTCACAACGGCGCTCTTCGGCCTCAGACACTCTCAGGTAAGGGACGTAGTGTACTAAACAGAGCTTACCAAATCAATTGAAGATTATACCCAGTTTCGGTTTAGTAACTGTTACGTTATTTCAAAAAGAGATATATGTAATATGTATGCTGTATGCAAGTCGCAATGAATACCACTGGTAAGATATAAAGTAACGCTTACATGATATGGTTATATTAAGGATTAACAATAGGGATTTAACGTGAATTTGTCATACAAACAATTGTACATAGAGATTTAAAATCTCCATTTTCAATCGACTAATTATGTAACAATAATTTACCTTCACATATTTCCCACCAATTGATTAAATTTGGAAGCAATATGAAACTAAAGCTTAACCAGACGGCTTTAATTAGACCATGTTTGTTATTTTGTACAAACGGTGGAAACCCTGTTGGGTTTATAATTAATTAGATGGTTGATTTGGTTCCTGTTATTCCGTATAAATAATCAGAGTATGACAACAATTAATTTTTATTTTTATCTTTTACAACCCATCTATGGACAATTGTCTGAAAGTAAACTCTCATCCCTTAGTGTATCTTACTGTGATAGCTGATGAGATATAATAATATTCTATGGTTTATAGTAAGTTTTTTTTTTAGGTTGGCATTGTAGTACATTAAAAAGTTATTATCGATGACCAGCTTCAGTTGCTACAAAAAAAAAAATAAAGCAAAATATTCCATGATGTGGCTATAATATTAGGTTTGAAATCAGTCTTCAAATTCAGTCAGTGTGCTACAATATGTAATGAAAATTTATACAAAGCGTTCATTGTTGCCTTTTAACACTTTATATCCATGCCAGTGTGAGGAAAATTACTTTAAAATTGCACATTTAATGACTTAATAACCATCATAGCCTAGTATGAGCATTATGATTTCGATAGAGGCACACACTTTCATAATGGATTCCTTTAGCATCCAAACTAAATAGATGGATATACTTGGCAATATTTAAGATTATTTGTTTTCTCTGTGTACTAAGTCATACTCAAGGTCTTATAGGCATTAATAATGTTCTCAAGCACTTACCCAGAACTTGCACGCTGTGGACCTGGTCCTTGGCTGGACTGTCGGCAATCTGACACAGATACTCTCCCGCGTCTTTGGCCGTGATGTTGGCGATCTTGAGGCTGAAGCCATCGTGGAGGCTGAACCTCGGGTCCCGGACAATCATCAGCTTGTCTGCTGTCAGCACAGTGGATCCTCTCCTCCACAGCAGCACGTACGACCCTTACATAGGTAGGAAACAAATTACTAATAATGGTCTCTTGGCAACATAAAACAAGGAAAAGTTATGACGAATATTTTGGAGGACTATGAGCAACAGATAGCTACATCATAACATGAAATAACGCTCATTCGGTATAAAAGACTGTTTTCCAGGAATATCCACTGAAAGCATTGGTTATAGTTTCAAAAAGCGTAAGCATATTGTAACAGGTTGCACATGCTGTTCTCGTGAAATTAAGAGGCAACAATCCGCTGGCCAGGTGTAAGGGAACTGTGAACCGCCACGTCGTTCACTGCCACCACCACTGGGGAACCTATTTATATGGGTCATTATATGGTCTCAGGAGGTGCAGCTACTCCAAAACATCGAGGCCACTAACAGCATGTTAGACGTAGATCTTCAGAATATTTAATAATGTTCTGTTAAAACATCTTAGATGTAAAAATAGTTCAAGGTTAAGCTTCTTCAGGTTGGTAAGTCACCACTGAATAAATACTGTTAAAGAATGCTCTGTTAATATGCTCTCTATTAACATTAAAATTATACTATTTTAATGTTGTAAAACTTAACCCTGAACCTAATCGCCATAGTCACGATTTAACCATAGACCTGTGAATACTACTTTTCTCTAAATTTATTTAACTCAGTATTTAAAAAGGACAATGTATTTAACAGCATAATTTAAAATGTAACTATCCTCTATTAGGGAGTTGAAAAAAAATGAGAGGCTAGAGACAGTCTAGAATAAATTTCTTTCTCATTTAAATGTACTCACTTTTAGTCAACTCACCAAGGTGGTCCACAGCACAAGGCAGTATGATAGTCTCCCCCTCTACTGTGTGATGTGTGTCTGACTTTGTGACGAACTTAGGAGGATCCGTACCCACTCCTGGAACAACCACGTAGATATAGTAACATATATAAACAGCTACTGGATTTTATATGAAGATCAGAATACCAGAAACTATCCATAAATAATATGCAAACCACTATTAGGATTGTGCTGTTAACTTCCCGTGTCTTCATATAATTACCATAGTTTATCTAATAAATCTTGAATTCAAAGAGAAGTTGTGAGTTTAATTCACTGGAAAACATACTTAGTACTTAAAACCACACGAAAATGTGGTCCTCATGTTCTATACAGGTGAAAGATCATGACATAATACTGTATGCTATCGATGGCAAGTTTGAACCAAAGTATGTATCAATTTCAATTGGTTAATAAAATCTAACCCCAAAACGGCTCAATAGAGGACGACGAAAACAATAAAAAAATGGCTTAAATTAACCTTGTTAAGACCAAAATAAAATACCAAACTTCATCTGAAATCTTACTTATTATTAGGTAGGTTCAAAGGTTCGGGGGGGCGACTATAAAAAGCGTTACCTGTTCGGAACAAGTTTAGCCCACAATATGCTATAATGTAAAAAGCAATTATCACCCCAAAAGAAACAAATTTCAAAGAAACTGTAGTAAGAAATAAGATGTAATCTCTGTTAAAATTTAAAATGGTTTAAACCACTATGTCCATAAATCAGAGAAAAAGTGAAAAAGACTATCTCATAACACATCCATTTTGCAATACAGATTTTATGTCAAAGGTTTAAATGTTTGCGATGAAACAATAGTTTCAAAGTCAATCCCCGGAGCGGTGTAGCCGACATGCGACACACATGAGAGTTCCAGATAGCTTGTCGGGCTCTGAATATGAATATCCATCGCTTTAAACTTGCAGTAATTAAGCAAAACTCACCAGCGGTGAATACAAATGTCGAGTTTCTTTGATTAATCGTTCACTTTTTACACCATCAACATGTCATTACTGGTTTTTATCACATTTCGTTTGTTCCCGTGAGTAACATCGTTCGTCATAAATTTATATTTTATATTTTGCATCTTGTTTTGTTTCCTGTGTTGTTGTCTGTGAAGTTTTTGTCTCCATTGTTTATCGTGTGTACAGTTAGTCGTTTTTATTGTTTATGGTTCCTAAATAACTTTTGATCAGTAATATATTATGAAATATACAGAATGAAAATAAAAATACGTCTAAATACACTTAAATCAAATATTTACTTATACTGTTAATTCACGAGACACGAAATGATTGGGGTACAATTGACTATAGACTTTATATAGACTTTATTTACCGTCATGTGAGTTAATAGTATAATTGTAAATATATGATTCAACTGTTATTGGAAATTATTGTTTCAATAAATTGTTTGATTGATTGATATTAGTACAGTAGTATTTTTTATTACTTCCTATGTTTACTATTTACATGATTTATCATTTTATATGTATTTTATATTTGTAGTCTAACACTTAAATTTTATTTATCGCAACTTTATGAATTGTCTGAACAGCTTTGATAACTAGTTGCTATGTAATTTATATTTTGTTTTTTAAGTATAAATGTAGTTTTCAACAGATGTTTTCATTAATTAGTTATAGGTGAATTCGATAAATAATATTTTTAATCGAATATTATGTAGGCTATTTCAATATATTTTGTTCAAAGAAAACATGGTATGATATATTTGTGTATGCTTATCCTGTATTCACAAACGATAGTTAAATGTTGTCTTCGAACTATCAAACCATTCTTTGATATTTAAAACAAAATCTAAGAGGAGGCGATACAAGATAACTTCTACCATAAAGAAAAGAACAACTTTCAGCCCACACATTCTCAATGAGCAACTTTATGCAAACAATAAGTAAACCGTTAGAGAAAACCATTTTCCAAGGAACTATTACCCTATTGAATATGATCTAATATATGGAGTCTCCGATTAGCTTCCCAACACTTTACACGTAAAATACTGTAATATTTTCATCTGATTTGTAATTTTTTATTTAATTTTGCCTGATGAATCGTATAGGCAGAAATATTATTTATAAGTGTTTTAGGGTGGGTGCTATTAAAAGCTCCGCCACTTCACAGCGAGCTCCCTGGTAAATTTAGTTAGGCCTAGTATATTTTGCATTATTGCATTACTTTAGGGTAAAATTTTGAGAAAAGCAAACCACTTTATAATAGTGTAATAGAAAAATATGTACCAGCAGAAACCTTTACATTGGTAAAATCATAAAGTTGAAATTTGAACATTTAATGTTTAAATATGGCTCAAATATTTATATAATGTAAAATACGATAAATCGTACTAGATACTATGTTACATACTGTTCTCTTACTTTGGGTTTTACAGTTTGGATGGCAAAGAGTTGTCTAAGTCTTAGCTACGAAAACATGTTAACTGAAGCGTGGACTTGCGGGCGTTATGCAAATCATGGCTATAAATTAAATCCTTGCTTAACAAACGAGCACGTTTCCAATGGAAATTGCCTGCTGATTTTGGACTGATAAATAGGGAGAGTAACTTGTTAGCCTAAGTCACCCCATTTATACAAGTAAGGGGAAGTGTTATCTTTGATACATGAGTTGGAAAATAAGACAGACATTTGTTTAAAAAATACCTCTATTTTGATTGTAGTTGGTATGCAAAAATAAATCCAAATTAATTCTAATTAATTCTTTGGAAGAATTAATTAGTAACTACATAATTTTAAACATTTCATCGACTTAGGCCATCAATATGTAGGCCGATTATAGGCAATACGTAAAGGCAATAAGTAAAGGCAATAAGTAAAGGAGGCTTAAACTTAAATATAATTAATTATGTTTATTTTCCTTGACTAATGAATAGCTAAAATGCTTCACGAATATAAATCTAATGTTCTCATTTAAAACTTGTAGTGTTCTAATATTTTTTAAGTTAAATTAAATACAATGCGTTGATATTTCAATATTAAGTTTTCGGTAATATAAGGAAACGACATCAAAAACATTACAAGATTAATGGATTTATTTCCATGAAATTGTATTTTTATGAACAGACAGATTTGACTGTAGTCAACTGTCAATACAGACCCATCTGAATTCAGACCTAATATAGGGATTATTCTACCAAGTTTTGCAAGAGCTTCTTTCATGATTATCATCATGATCATCATCATTCAACCATCTTTTTGTTTATAAAATATAATACTCGTATATACTGGTAGGTACTAATGTATTCGAAAACATCAATGTGGATATTAAACATGTATTTATTACTAAGTATATATTATTAGTTAATAATTAAGTAAAACAAAGTAAGTGCTAACCAGCTTCCTCCCACTGCAAAGGCATCTTAGCCCGTTCAAGTTTAATCTTCTCCGCACTGTTCATTTCGCACAGCAGCGTAACACAAGAGCTGCTGAAGTGCCTCTAAGACGATCACCTTGTTTACATTGTCAAGACAATATCAAAATATTGTTTTATAATTCTGTAAAATTTGTGAGCATGTTTTGAAAAATCACTTGAATTGCTAATGACTTAATGGCATAATGTTTATTAATTATATTATATAATTATGTATCCTATTTCTCTTGACAAGAAACCTGCTTTAATAAATGTATGAAATACTCTTTTGCAGCAAACATGCATACTATGCAGATTCCCATTTGCCTGATCACATTTTCACTAAAATATTTCCTTAAACAAACCATATTTATTTCCCATTTAAATAACCCTAAGTTTATTTATTTATTTATTTATTTACGGCAAAATCGCCATTTGTACAATCAATTACATGCATAACAATTTGTGGATCAATAAATACTATTAACATGCTGTAAGTTTTACATCTTGCTTGTGTTTATCAAGTTCTAGGATTTGCTTCTGCAGGGAAGGTTAAAAGAGTATCTTTTAGGGAAATGTTAATATATTAGGGTATTTTTTTAAATATTTGTGCCAAATTTTATCAAAATTCATCCTTAAACAAGCAAACAAAACAGTAATTTATTCTCCATTTGAATAACTTGACGATTTAAAAAATGTAAAGTTTTTTTTTTCCTGTAAAAATAAATTAAGCATATAAACACGCTTCAATATAAATATTTTTTGTTTTTTTTGGCCTACAAATTGGGTTAGGGAAAAGTTTAAAGTTTTAGGGTCAAAAATACCAAAAGCAAATTTGTATACCACATAAAAGCCCATTCCTATAATCCGATCATGCTGATTTACAATCCAATAAAAAAAAACTTAAGTTTCTGTATGTACTAATTTAACACACAAAATGAGGGTCCTGTGACTAGGTTTTATCCATATTACATATGGTAATAGCTTATTATCTATATGGGGAAAAATAAAGGTATTCTTATAAAATTAAGTTTGTTTAAAAAATATATTACTTAATGCCTTCTTGATAGAAAATGTTTACAAAGAATTTCTTAAATTACTACTTTACTAATGTATTACGTCGGAACCCCTTCTGATGAACTGTGTGGTTTACTGTAAACTGAGAATTAAATCGTAATAATAATCTGATTAAAAAAAAACTGTAGGAAGAATATAAAATTAATATTTAATAATAAATACAAGACCCCTTAAATATTTCCATTATTTGTAGGATATTCAATAACTAGCAACGATGTTGAATTCCTTTCCAAACTTAAACATTAGAACTTGCTGAACAAGCGAGACTGAGGAAACTAAGATGTTTTCTTTACACAATATGCTTTGTTTTTCTTCAAAGTTCCTTCCCTTTGACGAGAAATATTAAACTTTAATAATAAACAAAAGTAGGTTATTATAATCACACTAAAGTTCTACTTCGGGGAAACATAATTCAGTAAATTTACTTAGCTTGACGAATACAATTATTCTTATCGTGTTAATTAGTGATGTAGTTTATGTATTAAAAGAAAACTCATTGCATTAATCGTGAACTTATAACCAACGTATTTTGTCTAATTATACATTTTATTTGGCAATTTTCGATTAATAAAACACTCCCCCCCCCTCGAAAGTTGGTTTTTTCCAATCCACACCGTAGAGT